AGCCACCATAAAGACACACAAAATGCCTACAAATATTCAACACAACTGCAAAGACATACAAAAATATCCACAAAAAGACACAAAACAACCACAAAATGTCTTAAATCACCACAAAAAGACATAAAACAGTCACAAAGACAAGCAAAATGACCACAAAGGCACAAAACAACCTAAAAGAGTCATAAAATTACCACAAAAAGACACAAAATAACTCAAAAAAACACCACACGTGACACAAACCCTCCACAGAGACGTGCATTTGCTGTATTTACCGGTAGGAGATGATCTCCTTCAGGTGGTTGGTCAGCAGCTTCCCTCCTACATTGATCCTAAAGGTGAAATAAACCAACATTAACATTGTGTTGTTGTTGTTGTTGTTATTGTCGTCAGTGCTGCTGGGAACACCCTCTCACCTGCGGATGCCCTCCTTCATTTTTTTGCTCCGGCAGTAGGGGGCGACGTGGGTGAAGGAGAACCCGGAGTCGACCACCAGGCAGCCGAGCTCCGTGGGTTTGGCGTGGAAGTAGTGATGAGCGCTGAGCGAGCCGGCTGGAAGCGACACACACATTTCAGAGTTTTTAACAACCAGAGCTGCTCGTAAATACCTCAGTGAGTCCTCTGACGACTCACTGAAAACCTGTGCTTCGAGTAACAGAACAGACTTTACAGAGAAATGAAAGTAGAGCACCTCGTGAGAACGGGCAGAAATCACCTAAAATCAACACTAAGCTCCATTTAAGGATTATTATTTAAACGCACTTGTGCACAAAAGCAGACATTTTTTTATTTATCTGCATTGTGCAAATGGAAAAATATAAACTTTTTTTTACTTCAGGTGTGTTGTGGGATGTAACAGCTTCTTGTAACAGCTGCATCAGAGTTTATTACCTCCAGAGCTGCTTTTATCTGGATCAAACAGTCACAAACACACAGAACTGTGTTAACAGAGGAGAAAGCGTTGATGTTTCTTTAAAGGCAAAGTCAAGACCTGCCTACTTAACCAGGCTTTTGATTGATTTTGTTTATTTATAAATCTTTCTAGAAGTAATTTTATTTCTTGGTCTCTCCATTTATTCACTTATTTACATAAGCACGACTGTGCTTCCTTATGGGCAGAAATTTGAGCGTGTTCCTATAATTTCTATTCATTCTTTGTTTATTTGTATGTATAATATTGTAGGTCTTAACCTTAATATTCATATATCAGTTAATTGCAATAATTATAATATTTATAGTTCGAGAGGGTTTTACGTGTAGTATTTAAACTTTTCCATGTTATTCTTGGTGTTGACATTTTTTTTAAAATTCAAACTCAAGACCCAACATTTTAGTCAGGCTTTTAATTGATTTGACGCATTTTTAAAAAAATGTATTACTCTGTCTAGAAGTAATTTCATTAATAGATTTTTCTATTCATTCACTTTCTGACATATTTTAGTCTGTTATTTATTGCTTAATTTTTTACATTTGTTTTCTTACTGTTTTTATGAATTTTAACTTCTATTTTATATTATTTATTTCTGATTATAATATTTTATTTCCTGTATTTCTTTATCTATTTTCATTTATTTATAGTTTACTACACTTTGCGTTACATTTCATTTGAATGAAAAGCACTACATAAATGAAGTTTGATTTATTCAATAGCAAAAGTGTGGCTTTGTGAAACTTTCTTGTAACTGAATAATTGCGATCAAAGAAGTTTGAGTCTTTATCCAACTTGTGGGCTGCTGAGAAACGCACAGGCAGATCTGTTAAATGTCAGGAGCATCAGTGATAAATGAAAAAGAGTTCTGCCTTTACATTAACGGTGTAACTTGAATGGAGGCGCCTGAGCTCTTTGTGTTGTGATATTGCAGCTAACACAGACTAAGTGCTGGTCTCAGTCTAAACTCCTGCTCATACTAATAGTTCGACTCACCGTTGATCCTGAGAGCCGACTGGAACTGATACTCCTCAAACAGGATCTCGTTCATCGACTCCTGAATGGAGCTGAAGTTGAAGTAGGGCTCTGTGATGACGATGCTGGTGTCTGCAAACTCCACCTGCACACAGAAAACACAGTGAGTCAGCACTAGTCATCTAAACATTCCCCCCAATGATGAAAATAAAGCCAGTTAAACACCTTGAACATCTCTTTTCCAAACAGGTGATCCCATACTTTCCTCTGGACGTCCCAGTTGACCAGGTAACCCTGCACACACAGACAGTGATGAGAAACAAGCTGGTGTAAAGCTGAACTGTTTCACCTGGTGGCGCTGTCTCACCTTCTGGAAAGGCAGGATGTAGAAGAGACCTGAGGGGTCTTTGATCTCGTCCAGCTGGTTGGCTGTGAAGGTTTTTAATCTGGACGTCTTGGAGCGAAACTGACAGTTTGGAATGACACTGAGGAAGCAACAAGAAAAAAAATCACTAAGACCAGTTTCCAGTATTGATTCATCTGCTGCAGAGGGTTTCCTGCTCAAAGTGGGCTTCTGTGTGGTGATTATACACAACAGTAAAATCAGCCTACATACTGAAAATGAGTCTGTGTTACCTTATAGACAAAAAAATTTGAATTTCCCTGTTATTTCTGACCATTTGTTGGTGTTTCCATGTATAATATCATAGGATCTTAACCTTAATATTTAAATCAGTCAGGTTAATTGCACTATACATAATAATGTAGGGTTATTTCCTCACTGTAGTGCACTTTGACTCTGTGTTTTTGTTAAATGAGCTACATAAATATCTTGCCTTGAGGTGTTACACATGCTAGGGGCTATAAAGAGCCTCTTGCTATGTGCCAAATTTCAGATCAGTTCAGGTTTTTATATTTGGTCTCTAAAGATGCTCTAATTCTTGAGTGTCTTTGAAAACCAGCAGCAAAAACCTTAAAACCGACAGATTTTGAATGAAGTCTGGCGCTGAGTGTTTTGTCTGTTGTACAGGAGAAAGGAAGTGCTGTGTTAGAGGGCGACACCTAAAGTTATGTATATGTTACACAGAATTTCGATTGGGCTTCTAAGGGTTTACATTTGGTCCTTAAAGGTGCTCTGAATACGGAGCTTACATTTAAAAAGCCACCAAAACCTTAAAGCCGACAGATTTTGAATGAAGTCTGGTGTTATGTTTTTTCTTTCGTACAAGAGAAAGAAAGTGGTATGTTAGAGTGATAACTAATATTGTGTTCATATTAGACTGAATTGTAGTTTAACCTCCGAGGGTTTATATGTTGCGTTTGAAAGTGCTCTGAATCCAGAGGGTTTTTTTGTTTGTTTGTTTGTTTTTTGTCTTTTAAACAGCTAAAACCTTAAGACCACCGGTTTTGAATAGAGTCTGGTGTTGAGGGTTTTTTTGCTTCTTACAAAAGAAATTAACAGCGTTTCGTTAGAGCAACAACAGATGTTGTGGTTATAATAAACAGCATTACAAGTGAATTTGTTTTGAACACTGTGTCATTAACAGGTCGGTCTGTTTATTATTATTAAATTAGCAGTAACGTTAGCTTCCTTGCTAACACAGCGGCTCCTACCTGACTTTCTCCAGACTGTATCCGATCTTCGCCGTGTACGCTCCGTTGTCCAAAACCAACGTCGCCATTTTAAGAGTTCACATTAAACGGATTAATTCAAATTTAATCCACGTTTATTGAAACAGAACATAACTACACTTTCGGCGACACAAGGTTCCGCCATTACCGCTTCAGTAACTCCACCAGCCAATCAGATGCCTTTTCGGGTCGTCATTGGTGACTTGTGTAGCCAATCAGATACGAGGATTTGGTCCGTTTAGAAAAGCGTCCGACTGGAAACACGATGTCTTTTTTGTGCCGCATCTCCGTAAAAACCGTTGATTTGCTGTAAAAAATGAATGAATTTTGAACTTCAAAATATGAGCAACAGCTTCAGTTAACCAACCTTCAGCTAAAACAACTTAGTAGAGATTTTTCTTCATTGCTCACAAACAAGATTTCACATATATTAAAGTAAATATTGCGATGAAACTTGTGCAGCTGATTACTAGATTTATATAATTATTTTTTGTTTTATGTTTAGACATGCAAATGAGATATTATGTTATTAAATATGTGCATTAATTTACAGAACAGAAGTTTGAACATGGGATAAAACTATCTTCAAAAGTTTTAATTGCTCCAAAACATAGATAGATAGATAGATAGATAGATAGATAGATAGATACATAGATAGATACATAGATAGATAGATAGATAGATAGATAGATAGATAGATAGATAGATAGATAGATAGATAGATAGATAGATAGATAGATAGATGTTTTTACAAATAAGGCTGTGAATGATACATGGACAAACCCTGATGTAATAACCAAACTACAGACAGGACTAAAATTGTAAAGTTTGGTGAATTTAGGTGCTGCTTAAAAGGAAAAACTTTAAAGGAAAAGTGTTTGTTCTGCAATAAAAACTCCCCTACCCTGATATAGTCCAGTGGTTTCCAACCTCTGGTTCAGGACCCTCCAATGAGTCACCTGTTAAATATGTCATGATCAGTGGTGGTGAAAAGAAGAAAAACACATTTATGACACACAGATTTATAATAATTATCTTTAACTTTTAAAAGCTTTTAGGGTTTTTTTGTTAGATATTCAATAATTCTACTTCTTCAAACCTCCAGCAGTTATTTATGTGAAACAACTGACCGCGCTAACGGGGCTGCGGACAGTATTTACTAATTTATTAACTGATAAATCTGTAAAAACAAAGAAAACAACAACAACAACAAAAAGGCATGTGCTGACAAAATGGAACAAGAATTTTGACTCCGGTTTTAACCAAAGTTCAGATTTCTGTTCTGGAAAATGATGCAAATGAGTGCATAGTTAATGAGATTATAACTAATTATAACTAATTTGTATATTTAACAACTACATTTCATAATAATAAGAATAAAAATTGTCATACAAATATATTTATTTTAATGTCAGTAATCAGCTGGAGGAGTTTTATTGTGATGTCTGTTAATAAAAACGTTTAGTGTGAACCTGCAGCGTTTGACCTTAAAGAATAATCTGAGTATTTAATGTTGTCATAGTACAGTGAACTGACTTTGTGCTGTAAATCACAGGCTGTGTTATAAATACAGTATGAAGTGTTCCTTTGAACCTGCTGAGTCATATTTACTCTCGCTGAGCAGACAATGAACAAAGAGGCTTTCGCTGCAGGATGTGATTCAGACAAAGGAGGCATGAAATCCTGTTTGTTGATCCAACAGTGAACGGACATTTAGCAAACTGCAATAAGGATCTACATCCAGGATATCTACTGTCTGGCTTAAACTGCTCTGCAAACCCAGAAGGTAAACGTAAAAGTGATGTGATCTGAGGACGGTCACCAGTCAGTACACGTTGCCAAGGAACAAAAACGTTTCCCAAACTACTGAACATGTTAGAACACTCAGAAATTGTTAAAAATGACTCAAAAATGTCTAAAAACAAAACAACAACAAAACAACTCAAAATTTATCCGGATTGATTTTTAAAAATTCCTAAAGTATTTAAAACTTTGTCTAAAGTAAGAAGAATCTGCCCAGAATTACTAAAAGCTTTTTCAAAATGACTGAACACAATTTTGTCTGTGGCAAAGACGATCAAGAATGACAAAAAAATCTTCCAAACCGACTTGAAAGTTATAAAAAAAATGAACCAAGATCTGTCCAAAATCACAAAAAATGTCTAAAATCACAAAAACCTGAATTTCAAAATTATCCAAAGTGGCAGAAATGACCAAATGGCTCACAATCTGTTCAGAATGGTTTGAAACATTTCTAAACAAAAAAGAAAAATAATTGTTCAATGTGGCTTTAAATGCATCCAAAGTGACAAAAACTTTCCAAAAGGATTCACACATTGTGAATAAAGTGGTCAAAAATGCACAAATTGAATTAAAAACTGTCAAAAGTTGTAGAAATCTGTTTGAAATGACTCAACACTCGTCCACAGTGACTCGAAATGTTTTGAAAATTGTTCAAAATGACACAAAGTTAGTTAGAAAAAAAAAAGGCAAAAATAGTCCAACATGAACTTTTAAAAAAAATGTCAGAAAATGAGAAAAATGTGTCCAAATGAATAAAAAATTGTCCAAAATGGGTTCAAACCTTTTGCAATGACTTAAAAAATAGTTTTTGATTTTAAAAAAATAAAAAAAATTGTGACAAAACCTTTGACCAAAAGGAGGAACTTGTCCAGTGTGGAGGGAAATAAAGGAAAACTGTCCAAACTGACTTTAAAGTTGTACGAAATTAATCAGAAATTTATCCCAAAATGACTCAAAACTTGTCTTTAGAACTAAATCAGGTTGAATTATTACAAAATCTCCGTTAACAGCGTTTGTTAACGGTTCTTTTTCCCGGTTCTTTCCATGTGCTGCAAACTGAAACAAAGACCTAAATGGTGAAGCTCCAGATGTGAATCGATCTAACAGCTGCATCGGATGAGCAGGAAACAGAGCCGTTTGTGTCAGTGTGGTTTTATTCTCCAATTCAAACATTTTACACCAAAAGTTAATTCAAAAACTAACAAAAGCAAAACAAGACAAAAAGCAGGAATGAAGTGTGAAGTTTCCGTTTCCTCCTGCAGAATGAACAAAACCTGTGAAGGCACCAGAGATGATTGAAACAACATTTAACCCTTTTTTTTTAACTGAAACACACTGAAAGCTTGGATGCAGTTTGTTCGTTGGACTCCTGTTGAGAAACCAGGAGCTGTTTGAGTCCGTAAACACAACAGAGAAGGTGAGAGGTTTCTGGTTGACTGAGAAGATCTGAACATGAAGGAAGCTGCTGCTGAGGCCGAAGACGAGCTGTGAAGGTTTGAGGTTTAACATCGAGTCCAGGAGAGACACCAAACAGAAAGTCATCCTGTGACTTCAGTAAAAATGTGTAAAATCAAGACATATAAAAGGTGTTTTCTCCCTTTTGGCCGCAGCAGCAGACTGTCACGGATCCCAGCTTCCATCATGGGACGAAGACGAAGCAACAAAAACATCAGCCGGGTTTAAATAATGATCCAGAAGCTGCAGCCGAGCAAACAGAGGTCCGTTTACTCAGCAGGCTGCAGCGCCGGCGAACAAAAGGTCCTTTCTGTGAAGCACAAACATGAGCTCGGTCCTGAAAACGTGTCGAGCTTGAAGCAGCTCAGTTGAGGTTTTTGGGGAGGCATCCGTCCATGTTGATCAGCTCGGGCCAGTGTTCGTATTTATTGGTGGCCGCGTCGTTCTTCATGTACTGAAACCAGCAGACAGACAGACAGACAGACAAACAGAGATTAATAAATGTGTGAAAGACCTGAAAAATGTCTAAATCGACTTTAAAGCTGTCAAAAATGAATGAATATCCGTCCAAAATGACAATTAAAGACAAAACAAATGGCTCACTTTTAGTCCCGAGTTACAAAAATGACCACATTTACTCAAGAACAGTCCAAAATCACTCAGAAATGGTCAAAGTCTTGACTTAACATGACTTACAGCTTTTCTAAAATCACTCAAAATTTGTCCAACATAACAAAAAAATGTTCAAAATGACCAAAAAAGAGTCATAAATGTGCTAAATTAAGTATATTTTAAGTACACTGAAAAAAATTGAGTTGGAATAATTACATTTTTATGTGTAATTAATTAAAAAACTTGTATTTATGCTGCCAGTCATTAATTGATTAAAAATAACCTTAATTATTGAGGAAAAGCTGATTCTGCCAACTCAATGCAGCTTGTTGGTTTTATTAGAAGTTGTTGATTGATGCAAACTGTTAATTCTTTTTTCGAGGACGGCTGTTCTGTTTCCATCGAGGTGCTGGATTATACGCAGTGAAACATGAGCCACAGTGAGACCAGTTAAAGCCCGTTAACGTGGTTCGGCTGGTGGGTTTTACCTTCTCGTACTTGCTCTTCATGGTGTCTCCTTTCCCACCAATGAACACCCAGTTGTCTCTGAATCCCAGCGAGTGAATCGACGAACTTCCCAGTTCAGCAAACAGGGTCCGAGCTTCTTCATTTAACCTGAAACACGTCGACACGCTCAGTGAGGAAGAATCCTTGAACACCATCAGAATATAAAGTCGGTGAACAGACAGAATCCATGAGAACAGACACTGAGACACACTGAAGGAAAACGCTTTAATCATGTCTGTGAGCCTGACGGTCGGTCGTTGAAAAGGATTGAAAAACAAATTCAAACCAGCTCAAAAGTTGTCTAAAGTTATAAATGTTTTGTCTAATTTGACAAATGTTTGTCCAGAATTGCTCTAAAAATGCCAAACATGACCAAAAAAAAGTCTAAAGTGACCAAAATTTGTCAAAAGTAACAACAACCAAACTGTCTAAATGACTTAACGTCTCACTAAAATACTCAAAAGTCCGTCCAACATGACAAAATACCATCCAAACTGACATGAAAGCTGTCAAACATGACTTTAAGCTTAATGAAAAACTTTCAAAAATCTCAAACATGGGGAACAAAAAGATCAAAGGAAAAGATCGAAATGAGAAAAAATATGTCCAAACCAAACAAAAAAAAAGACTAGAAAGAAAAAATGTCCAAAGTGACAAAAAAAAATCTAAAATGTCTTGAGACTGATCCAAAATCACTAAAAAAACGACCAAATAGACTTGAAAGTTGTTCATAAAGAAATAAAAATGAGTCAAGAATCGTCCAGAACAACTCTGAAACCGTCCAAACTGACTCAAGTTTAGTATGAAAATAATTAAAAGCTATTAAATTATTAAAACTTGTCCAACTTTAAGGTGCGTTTGTTGGTTGAAAGAACAACCTTTAATCAGCTGAACTGAACGAATAAACCAAAACAAACGTGAGGTGGATGTTTCAGGACGTCTGTGAGGAACTCACTTTGTGGACGGCTCGTCGTAGGACGCCACCATGATCACAGAACCCTGATCGATGTTCTTCAGGAACTCGATGAGCGGCTCGATGGCTGCAACACAAACACAAACCGTCTGTTTCCTGCATGTCACACTGAAGACGAGCCATCAGACGACACTCACCTCCACCGTACGTGTCGAAGGACACGGCTTTGGTCAGGGCTCCTGTTCTACCTGAAAACAGAACCAACAGGTGAGAACGGACCGGCGGACGCTTCAGAATTCACAGAACCGAAGAACGATTCTGGTGGACTGGTGCTTCACTGGAGGCTTTATTTTTATGTCACTGTAATATATGAACCCTAAAGACACACAAAATGACCAAGAATCCAACTAAACAACAACAAAGAAACACAAAGAGAACAAAAAGAGACAAAAATAATCACAAGGAGAATAAAAACTACAAAAAAAACAAACTAAAATACCACAAAGAAACAAACAAATAAGCACATAGAGACACACAATTATCACAAAACCACCATCAAACACAAAACAGCAACAAGGAGACTCAAAGTTACCGCAGATGAACACAAAACAACCACCAAAAAACTCAAATCTACTACAAAGAGACACACCATGACCACAAAACGGCATGAAACCATCACAAAAGACAAACGTACCATAGAGAGACACAAAACAATAACAAAGAGACACAAAACAATCAAAAACAGACAATAAATGACCTCAGAAAATAACAAAACCACCACATAGAGACACAAAAGCAGCACAAAGAGACTGACAATGACCACAAAAATACACAAAACTACCCACAAAGACATACAAAATGACCACAGAAAGACACAAAGCAACAACAAAGTGACTCAAAATTACTGCAAAAAGACACAAAACCTCCACAAAGAGACAGAAACTAACCACAAAAGGACAAAAAACTACAACAAAGAGACACAAAACCAGCAAAAAGAAACACAAAATGAGCACAAACAGCCAAAACATCCACAAGAGGACAAAACCACAACAAAGAGACTAAAACATGTAATAAAACCACCACAAAAAGACACAAAAACACGACAACAATATTCAGATTTATCACAGAAAGACAAAAAAAAAAAAACCACAACAAAGAGACTCGAATTACCACAAAAAGACAGAAAACAACCACATGAGACACAAAATCAACACAATCTGATTAAAAAAAAGAAAATAAGGAACAAGGACTGATGTGTGTTTTGTTGTTAATTGTGTAAAATATGTTGTTGTTGACTTCAACAACACTCACCGTTCACTATAACGATGTTTAGTCCAGCGACGGCGTTGTTCAGCACGGTTCCAAGAACCCTGAGACAAAATAACACTGTGTGAGTGACCACAGACACA